GACTTAGTGAGTTCCTACCTTGTTTTGCACGTAATGAAACCCCCCCTGTTTGAGATACGTTTGTGGGGAACACCAGGCGGTTTCAACCTAGAATGCGCAACCTAACTGCGCCCTTTCTGGTTTGCTGTCGTGGTGACTTTGACACACAGCGTTGTGTCAAGACGGTTGGATTGCATGCCCGCGAAATGTGAGCCATGACAGTGCGAACTAAGAACACAGATCGAGCCACCCGTACTTCCAGCCGCAGCCGCGGCCTATTCTACGCTCGGCTTCGGCGCAGAGTGTGGCCACGCAGGTTGAGCGAGCGCACGCGAGTCCCATGGAGCAGGTGCTGTCGCCGGAGCCTGTGGAGCCGACGATGAGGCCTGCGCTGTCACCAACTATGCCACTGGAGTTGGCTCGAGCTTTGGGGCCAGATTGGCTGGCTGTGCAGTCACGCATTTTGGATGCAGCTGCATTCTGTTTTCCTTACTTTCAAGTTTGCAAGGATTGGATGTCAGGTGAAAGTTTCCGTTGAGGGTGCTGAATAGACAGGCCTTTTCTCTTCTCTTTTGGCACATTGCCTTTTTTTCCGGTGTAGTTTACCATTACCAATAGCCTTTTGTGTGTGCTCGTGCCGACTATCCAAGGTTCCGACCAGAACTTCATCTACCTTTGGAACTTTCGCACCAAGCAATGTGCCTGGCTGCCACATGCAAAGTGAATCGGCCCACTTCTGTATAGTTGCCCTTTTGGGCTTGCACGAGGCTCATGGCTTGCGCGCAGTGTAAGAAGATAATGCACATATGACTTTGCAGGCAGACTGCGTGCAAGCGCGAGAGCTGAACCACACGCACAGAAGAACATAAGCAAGTCGGGGGATAGGAATCGATAAATCCCAGTTGCGCTCACACAATTGCAGGAGTGGGAGCAGACAGATCTTAGCTAGGCTCGAGTACTTGGAGGGATAGTAATAGATAGATCTTAGTTGTAGCTATACCCAAGTACTTGGCGGGGTAGGAATATGTGCGTCTTAGTTAGGCTCCAGTAAATACAGGGATAGGAATAGGTAGGTCTTAATTCGGCTTCCCACCCTGGTCAGTCGAACTTGTAAGTTCAGACCCCATGGTGTTCAAGCATACGAATCATTCCAGCAACTCAGTTCATGAACTTCAGTGGTTCGAATACAAGCAGCAACGGGCAGCTTGCGAGGTCCCGGACATCCTCTAGATTTCTCAAGGAACTAGAGGGATATGAAGAGATATCATTCACTGGTTTGTGGGTCTGTCCTGACATGCAGTTTTTTCTTCTTCCGTGTTCGATGGATGTCGATGTTGTTTCCAATCGCAGGAGGGGTTTTTGGCGCAATGTGTGTCGAATCCCTTTCATATTTCTTTAGGAACCTGTTCCAGGGAAGAGAATGATGTCATAGAATGGAAAGTCGTTCCGTTGGTTGGCTCTTCTCTGAAAAGATTTTGGGCTCTGGACTTAGAGCGCTCAGCGGGGCAGCCATGTCCGTGATTCCCCCACGGCCACGGATCGTGCAGCCTCGGGTTGCGGGGGCGCACATCGTGCAGCCTCGTGGGGTTGCGTGGGCGCCGCTCCCTCCAAGTGGCCTGGTATGGAAGCTCCTAAATCAAGGCAGCCTCAGCCTTGTGGTTCCCAAGAAACGTACGAAACATATCGGGCGTCTATGACAAGCCGTGTGCAAAAATAGTGTTATCTGTTTGTTGGGAATTTCAGAGGCTATTTCCGAGAGGTGCCTGGATTTCCATACGAATCGTCAGTTCTTGTTTTTTTCCAGGCATGAGGCATGGTGTGCCCCAGGTGCAAGGACCGATAGGGAGTCACAGAGACTTAGTGAGTTCCTACCTTGTTTTGCACGTAATGAAACCCCCCCTGTTTGAGATACGTTTGTGGGGAACACCAGGCGGTTTCAACCTAGAATGCGCAACCTAACTGCGCCCTTTCTGGTTTGCTGTCGTGGTGACTTTGACACACAGCGTTGTGTCAAGACGGTTGGATTGCATGCCCGCGAAATGTGAGCCATGACAGTGCGAACTAAGAACACAGATCGAGCCACCCGTACTTCCAGCCGCAGCCGCGGCCTATTCTACGCTCGGCTTCGGCGCAGAGTGTGGCCACGCAGGTTGAGCGAGCGCACGCGAGTCCCATGGAGCAGGTGCTGTCGCCGGAGCCTGTGGAGCCGACGATGAGGCCTGCGCTGTCACCAACTATGCCACTGGAGTTGGCTCGAGCTTTGGGGCCAGATTGGCTGGCTGTGCAGTCACGCATTTTGGATGCAGCTGCATTCTGTTTTCCTTACTTTCAAGTTTGCAAGGATTGGATGTCAGGTGAAAGTTTCCGTTGAGGGTGCTGAATAGACAGGCCTTTTCTCTTCTCTTTTGGCACATTGCCTTTTTTTCCGGTGTAGTTTACCATTACCAATAGCCTTTTGTGTGTGCTCGTGCCGACTATCCAAGGTTCCGACCAGAACTTCATCTACCTTTGGAACTTTCGCACCAAGCAATGTGCCTGGCTGCCACATGCAAAGTGAATCGGCCCACTTCTGTATAGTTGCCCTTTTGGGCTTGCACGAGGCTCATGGCTTGCGCGCAGTGTAAGAAGATAATGCACATATGACTTTGCAGGCAGACTGCGTGCAAGCGCGAGAGCTGAACCACACGCACAGAAGAACATTTCTTCAGACCTAGATATGAGCACAGTCACATGTATATGTGTGCGTGTATAGAGATTTGTGTATCTTGTCATTGTTTATAATGTAACCTCTGTGGCCTTATTGGGGGTAAGGGTTGAGTACCAAAGCGCACTTGGTGACACGGTTTCCAGAAACAACAGTGTCAACCATCAGGTCGGTTTCCACAAACAACAGCGCCAACCATGAGGTCGACAGATTCTCTTTGAGAAACAGATCCAGGACCATCAGAGACTGCTGCCACAGTGGAGTATCTTCTCATCAAGGATTAGGTGCCCACCGACGCGGGACACTTGTGGTAGCGGAGCAGGTTTTTCCAACGAGAATCATCACGATGTCATCAGATGAAGAAGGAAGCTTTTAGCAGTGCAGGTCGACCTGTCAGCAGTACTGAAGCGACACGTAAATTTAATTACGATGGAAAAGTCAGAGCCGACTCACGGGCGATGAGCGGAAGTTTCTGCGCTATTCGGGATGAAGTGTACGCGCACGCTACACATGCAATGTAAACGGGCCCCCGGGGCTGCTTGTGTACGGCGCTGACACTTAGCAGTTGCGATTGTTTCAGGCGTTGTGTGTGCACGGCGGCCAGATTGAATGCGGAGATACTGTAGCGCGTGTGAGGACACAGCTTGGCTCTTGACGGGCCTTCTCGCAGCCGTGTAAGCTTTCAAGCTGTCCTGTTTCAGCTCGACTTCCGCAATCTTGCCAAGTGTGATGTCTTTGACTTGGAGCGGTCGCGGACGCACCCAGTGGGCAGATGTGCAGGACGACTATCAGTGTCAGCAGCTAAGGCGCACCTTTCATCACAACCTCAATTGGTGCCCCGTATACTTAGGCACTTGCCTCGAAGACTTCAGTGCTATGAGCATTGCTCTGGAGACCAGGAAAAGCGCAAATGGCAGGCAGCTTAGTGGGCATGCGTCTAAGAAGTTCAGAGAGTGCCAGCTACGCAGCATGTGCAGCAAGCGAATGACACGGGCCATGTCGGAGCTCAGTGTTAAAAATGTTCTGTGGACAGTCTTGCCGGCTATGATGGACATGTCTGCAAGTCTGGGGTGGTGACTGTCCTTTCGAACTAAGGCGAGGAGGGGTCATTGCCGGAGAGTGTGTCCGAGATGGAGGTGCATGTTGACGGTGAGCCGGGCGGCCGCTGTCTGGGACGTAAGTGCAGGGGAAACATATCTGTCGGCTTGGCGGCTGCTTCCTAAGGTGAGATGGAGTCGCTTGAGGGCCGGGACTGTGACCACAACTGTCGGCTCTCAAGTGTCGGCTGCGAGTGCTTTCCCAATCGTAAGGCACGTAGGCAGGACCGGCTGCCTGCTGAGGTGAGAAGGAGTTCTTGGACTCACCGGATGGAGACGCCTCCGATCTTGAAAATCTTGAGGGCTGTGGGAGTCTCGCCCATCGGGCGTGCTGTTGATCAACCGTGCAGACTGCCAAGGCAACTTGGATCCGCCCCAGGATGGCAAGTATAGCCCTGTGCGCTTGGAGCCTGGCGTAGGACTGGGCAATTTATTGATTTAGACAATCTTCAGATCTGCTTGCCATCGTTGCACAGGTTCGGACATTGACGACAGTGCCTGGGCTGGGCAGAGCTACAACACAGTCATTCCGGAATTTGACGGCCTGTTTACCGTGCCTGTAGCTTGCAAGGAGCCAGCTTGAATATCGAGGATGGCTACTGCGTCGTAGCTGGATTATTGTCGCAAGCTTGCGCCGCTTACACGGATCACCTAATAAGTTAGTGCATAGACCAAGGCGACTGGTACATGCGGGAAATTTGCGAGCGGCTTCTTCACGAGCACGTCTGTGAGGTTGTGATCATGGGACGGAGTGCAGAGCTCGAGCACAGATGGTCACATAAGCATGCATTGACATTGCCGATGCACACGTGCGGCTGCCCGCTTCAGGTGACTACTTCGCACCTTGCATTCTCGAAAGGCTTGAGCGCGAGTATCAGCGCTTCGTCGAGCACTACGAGGGATGGCGCTGACACTTTGGCAAGTTCTTGCTTTTGATCTGGTGTACACATGAACTGAGCACTGTCCTCCTAGTGCTACCGTGCAACGGTGCTGGCCAGGGAAGAACTGCGGATTCGCGGCGACATTCGTGCGCCACACTTCCTGTCCAGCCCTGTATGACGGAGGCGGGCCGATAGCGAGAAGGTAGGTTGTGGAAACCTGGTTGGTCACTGTGCTTGTCTTGTCGTGTTAGGCAGCAACTGGCTGGGAGTGGAGGACCGCTGGTGTACCTGGATTGCATGAGAAGCTTTGTTACACAAAGGGTACTAGTTCAGCCCTAGGTGATGGCCTGGTCTACGGCATCATGCGTCGTGCGCTCACCACTACGCACATGACGGTGTCCGATGATGTGTCTTGGCGGAAGATTCCCCGGAGCAAGTGGTATTGCGGATCCCACGGCAGTGGCAGCGAGCCGAACAAGGATGGCAAGAAGCCGGTCTTGCCGGAGGATTATGCAGAGGTGTCTTGCGTCGCGGGGAAGGACACGCGGCTCAATTTGGTGGAGCTCACGCGCCGTCAGCGCAAGAGGCTGCGCGAGAAGTACTACTGGGATCATGTCTTGTGGACGCATAGCCGGCAGCTGCAGCGGCACCGGTTGTGGATGCGAGCGAAGGAGGACAGGGAGTTTCATGAGATCATCGAAGAGTATCAGGAGATTCTGCGTCGGGAGTACGAGCAGATGGCGCAGAAGCAGGCAGCTATCAGCGTGCCAAGGATTGCGGCCAGGCGGGAAGTTCAGCCGAAGTGTTGTCCAGCCCTCTTTTTTTTTCGCCCGGACAGGCCCGACGAGGAGACCGCGCGGGATCGCAAGCAAGATGTTTGCTTGATTGATGCGTTGAGGTCGTTGGGAGTCCAGCTGTCGTATCAAGATGACGGCCCCTTCTGGGCCTTGACAGATGGCAATAAGTTTCTGCGTCCGCACGGGCCTCTTGCCAGCAGAGGGCATGCGTCTAAAGAATTATGGGACAACGTGTTCATGTAGTATGTGCACCTGAGGAAATGTTTACGAAGTGTCGACGTGAAGGACTGTGCCATGCCCGGCAAGTACGTTCTTTTCCGAGCCAAGCATTTCATGTCCCTAGAGGTGCGCGCAGATGGCACGAATATGTGGCGTACCACCTGCAAGCGTCATGTTGGCTGCGCCGATGTGAAACTACCTCTTCTGCTACGTGCGATGGAAGCCGCTTTCCAGCTGAAGGAGCTGTCCATTTCCTTTTGCGAGCAAGAGACAGATGTCTTGGGCGGTGCGAGCTCGGAGATTCCAGTAGTTGAGAAGATGCTGGAGTCCAGTGCAACGCCGAGCAGTTTGGCTGGAGAGGGCAGCGCAAGCACTGCTCTGCAGAGCCCAGCTGACTGGCTACAAGTGTGTCGCAACCGAGCGCGGGTGCTTGAGCGGAAGCGCAAGACGACTCAAGACGTGGAGGAGCACAGCTCTTCTTCTACGTGCAGCTTCGCACACTCTTGGAACTTGGCCATGCCACCAATGACTCTACAATGTTTTGGAGTCGCAGGCTCACCGGCGCAGGGCGTGCGCATACCTCTGCTGCCTTTAGATGAGGGCATCGTCGCATTGCCGGTCCATCCTACCGGCCAGGAGGTGTCCCCCGAGTTCACGTGGCTGCGCCGCTGCCACCCCCACGAACTGGATGCTGCTATTCGATTCCAGCAAGACGGGCACAAGTACTACGTGCATGATGCAGAAATGGACTGCTCTGTCACATCGCTCATTGCGAAGTTCTCTGAGGCTGGGGTGCTTCGGTGGTTGTGCGGCTTGTAGGGGTTTCGGGCAATTGCTTTCCCTGCGGATGGTAGGAGTTTGATGCAGATCGGATCATCCAGAAGATGATGGCCGGACATCGCTGGCCTCGGGAAGGATACATGAAGAATCTTCAGGATGAGTCTCTCCAGATAAGGATCGCTGCGATGCCAGGGCTGGAGGAAGTCGCACGCATTCTACAAGCCCCTGCCACCACACAGCAGCAGGTTTCCGTCGTCCTCCGGAACACGCTCTACAAGTGCGACGAGACAGCTGCATCTCTTCTCCAGCAGCTTGTCATGACTCCTGAGGAGATCAAGGTGCATTGGAGAGAAAATGGGGAAACCGCAGCTGCAGCCGGCACGTGGGTGCACTTGCTGTGCGAGTGCGTCCTCAACGGGGGCACAGTGACGGGTGTGTCAGAGGAGATGCGAAGCTTCAATGCCTTCCTGCGCAGCACGCAGCCTCTCATTGCCTACCGCACGGAGTGGTGTATCTGGGCTTCGGCTGAGAAGATTGCAGGCTCCATTGACTTCGTTGCACAGGATGCGCAGGGCGACCTCGTTCTGTTTGACTGGAAGAGGACCAAGGGTCTGCCAGACAAGTTTGAGAATCGTTTCGCCTGCATGAAGCCTCCTCTGGGTCATCTTCCTGATGCTACTGGTGTGAAGTACCGGCTGCAGCTAAACATCTACAAGCGCATTCTGGAGATGTACTATAGTGTGCGTGTGTCCGGGATGTTCGTGGTTTGTCTGCATCCGGAACACGGTGGTCAGCCGTGGCTAGATCACGTGCCCGATATGATGGCCGAAGTGGACGCCATCATGGCCCAGCAGCGCCAGCGCCTAAAGCAGAAAGACGCGCGCGGCGGTGCCCGCCCTGCCTTGCTCTCATCGCTCCACGAGGATGTTGTCGGCTGTGTCGATTTGTTTGGCTTGAAGACAAACCTTCGAGCTGCGCGCGTTCTGTGCGGGCCTACATCTATCCGAATTGCTTCCTTTCTTGGGCAGGATCATGATGGTTTCTGGGTTGTTCCTGGCCCTGAGAAGCTTCCATGCATATGCTCAACAAGGGCTTTCTCTCTTACAGCCTCGCAGAAGGATGTGTGTGGTGGGGCGGCGGAGGAGACATCTCAAGAGTTCTTTCCAGCAGTAGGTGAGGCAGCGCCTGGGGAGGATGTCGCGGCGACAGCACGAATGTCGACAAGCCCTCGAACAGCGGCAAAATCACAGCCCCGCCCAGCAGACAGGCCGCGTGCCGAAGGGGCAGTGGCCGCGGCTTCCAACGCACTCCCTCCAATGTCACAGGAGGGCGTGAAAAAAGAGGACGACGATGGGCTTGATCTATTGGGCAATGATGCAGCAGCAGAACAGGCATGGCGGAAACTAAGGCAACGCCGCCTTATGCCAGGAGCGGCGACGTCGGATGCGGACTTTACTGGTCTGTTTCGTCAGCTCGCTGACATGAACACAGTCTTCCAGACCCATGGTCAGCCTGAACCCATTGATGCCTCCGACACTATCACGGAGATGGTGCGGCACTGGTCGGAGTACGTGCAGAGTCGCTGGGCAGAGGCTTCCGACTCGCTCATCCGCTTGTGTGTCGGCGCTCTGGCTTTCGGACGTGTGCGGCAAGCCGACATCCACTTGCGCGAGCACGCACAAATCTACTGGATTGCTGAAGGGCGTCGCAGCCTCCGATTTCACAACGGTGACTGCTATATGCGCACTGCTTCGGGAGCCTTCCAGCAGCACAAGGGAGTTCCGCCCGACAACGGCAGGGTGCAGACCTTCATGCTGCAGTTGGAGGGCGTTTACAGGCTTCTTCCGAAAACAGTAAGCCGAACCTCGCAGAGCCTGACCACTGCCGTGATGGCACTCTGGGAATCAAATGAGAAGAACGAGACCGAGTTTTTGGAGGCTTGTGTGAACGCGGCTTTGGATGCGCACACTGAGCCAGGCCGCAGAGGCTTTGGAAGGGGTGCCGAGGAGGAAGAACGTCCTGGCGAGCCAGCTGTGGCCTGGACCCTGGCCACCGCGAAGACAATCCTGGCTGTGAAGAAGCAATTGACTAGAGAGATCACCGAGGACAAGCTCCTGCACTACATGAGTGAATGGTGCGACACTCCAAAGACTCCCTGTCCTTCAGTCAGCTACGAGGATTGCTCTATCATGTACGATGACGAACTCGTGCCAGCCCGACAAGTTCTGCGAATGCAGCTCGAAGATTGCTATTTGCGCATTCCGCATGCTCTCCGCTACACCGTCCCTCCCCATATTGCTGAGCGACTGCAAAAATTCTACATGCAGACATTCTGGGGGAATTTGCCGGTGTTCAAATGCGGTCAGGCAGCGCAGGCCTTAGCAAAAAGGGGGATCAACGTGGTTCGCTTGTTCATCGGGCTCTCTAGCGGTGGTGTCGGACAGTCACTCTATTCGACGCACCTGCAAGCCATATATGCGCACAACTTTGCTTTCTTTGATCCCAACATCTGGTTTCATGATGAGGAGATGAGAAAGCAGGTCGAGCAGTTGAACGGGTGCTGTATTTTGACAGGGCAAGAGACACCCGCCACGGGAAGAAAGCTGAGGGAAGACCTCTACAAAAAGTTTGTGAGCGGGGATGGCATTGCCGGGCGGAAGCCATACGGCTTTAAGACACGGATGATCAACTGTGTCGGCTGGAAGCGGTTGGAGGCAAACCGCATGTTCCCGTTCGCCGACGTGGGAAGGAAGGACTTCAATGCCATCCTCCGCAGATCGCTGGTGTGGCGGGTGAAGGCTCGATTTGAGGACCCACAAGCGCTCGCGGCCGCCTACGAAGATATTTTCTGGGATGGTGTCTTCCCAAAAGATTCGGATCTTGCCGATTTCTTGCGCTCAGCCCCGGCCGTGGCAGCTGGCCTTCAGCTGCAGCACGCATTCGAGACTCAGTACTCCAAACAGCAATGCATCGACCTAATTGAAGATTACGTGGTGTGGGGCGGCGACTTTGGCCTCACTGAAACTACGATGCTGGAAGCGTGCGGGCTTCCTCCTCGAGACTTGCGGCACGCAACAAGCAGAGCGGCGGCCGTCATCAATGTTGAGGATGTGGAGGAAGTCAAGGGAGCAGTGGCAGCAGCTTCACAACACCCTTGTTGAGCACATGCTGGACAAAAGACGACTGCAAGCTACGCGACACAGCATCCGCGATATGAAGTACAAAGACGGGCCGAATGTTTCGAAGGAGGCTATTCTGGATGGCTTGCTTCAGTTGCAGCTGGTCCGCCAGGCCACAGGGAAGACACGCGCAGAGGTGGCCTACATACCGGTCATACGCTGTCAGAAAACACTCAGCGATCTCATAGACTACAAGTCCAGAGACAGTGAAGTGAAGCTTCCCGAGGAGTACAACATTACGGCCTTCACCCAGTACATGCTTGGCCGGCCTTTCCGAAAAGAAAACGCGACAGTGCTAGCCAAGGTTCTGAAGGCGCTTGGCAACAGCAAGCGCGCTGGGCGCGGCCGTGCCACAGCCGACGCACAGCGGCAGAGGGAGGCTGTCCTTGAGAGGGCGCAAAAAATAGAGGACGCAGAGAAGAACGGAGATGACCTGCTGGATACACTGAGTGAAATCAGCGCGAAGAGACGGCGCCTCCACGTCAAGACCGAGGGTGCTAGAACAGAGGCCGAGGAAGTAGGGAGAGCTACCAGACAGTGCAGCTATCACTACAGCGGTCCCGAGAGCGTGCGAAGCAGGAAGTATGTCACTGGGGTGGGGGCGCAGAAGTTCCCTCGAAGGGCCCAAATGCATCTGCTGCGCGGCACATGGGACCTTGACATCGAGAATAGTGTGTTTGCCATGCTGCACCAATTGCTGCAGGAGCTGGGCCCCAAGCCAGCCATGCCCGCAAAAGCGGCAGCGGCGTTGGCCGACTGCGCAGAGCGGCGGCACCATGTCATCGGCGAGGTCTTGAAGATGACCAAGGATGAGGGGAAGCATCTGTTGACGTCTGTGTTGCACGGAGGTACCATCCCTCCAAGCTGCGACGGCCAGGAGTTTCTACAAAATTTACAAAGGGCGTCTATCTATTGCCGCTGGGTAGCGGTCTCGCTCCTGCCTGCCGAGTACGAGGCTTTTTGCGCAGACCCTAGCAAGAAAAACCCTGAAGCATCAGCGCTTTCGCATCTGTACATGGCTTGCGAGGACGTTGTGCTCTCAGAATGGATCCGGTTTCTTTCGGCTGAAGTCACACCTACTCACCTGTCCTTGCATTTTGACGGGGTACGGGTCTCTGCCTCAGAGCACGGAGATGCAACGGCCTTAAGTGCAAAGTGTCAGGAGGCCATTGCGAGCAAGACCATTTTCAAGCTGCGGATCCGAGAAAAAAACCACGCAGCTGTCATGGCCTTGCTGCGGGGTGCTGCCACACGCCAGGGCCCTCCGCGGTTTGAGGCTGGCACCACATTGACTACATCAGGCAACTGTATCCCTCACGCACTCGCGTGCCTGGACTCTTTGTCAGAGGAGGGCAAGAGCAAATTGGATGCCACCACAGAGCAGATGAATGTGTACATGGAGCAGCGGGGCTGTCGCACCTACCAGCAATGCTCGGCGGCCTTTGGGTGTCTTCTGCATCCGGTTGTGTTCATCGACGCCTTGCCGGTCGGAAAATTTCTTCTGCATGCTGAGAACGATGGCAGTCCGCATTGTGTGGCAGTGCATAGGCGTGAGGTCCGAGGAGCCTTCGAAGTGACCGTGTGGGACACTGACTGCGCACTTCATTTGTCAGACTCTGCTTTCCGGCGATGCCTTTCCGATGGAGTGGATAGCAAGACCTGCGTCTTTTATTTGCTGGAGCAGCCTGCGGACGGTCTTTTCTTGGCCGTTTCTGAAGCAGAAGTCTCTCAGCTCCTGGACATGGCTGCGGGCGCCGTGGGAGAAGTGGATTTTTCGATGGATGTCGACCGGATGGGGTTGGGGCAAGATGCTGGCGAGGAGACGGGCGTTGATTGGCTGGATGCTGACGGTGTGGTGACGGTGGACGCGGTGCTTTTGCAAGAATTGCGCCAAGAGGTGCTGACATGCATCGCCCGGGCAGGGCGCGGGTCCCTGAAATGCGTGGGCGGAATGTACCGCTGCCCGGCTTGCCCCTTTCGAGCTTTCCGCGATTGCTCGCGCGTGGCTCAGCACCTCCGACGCTACCACACCGAGAAGCAGCGGTTCTGCTGTTCTGGAACAAAGCAGTTGCGGGTGCTGCTCTCCATCCACGACACGGACATGCTGGCTGAGAGCCGTGGTGGCCGGTACCTGGAAAGAAGCGCGAAGGTGATCCGCGAGCTTGTGAAGCCTGGGCTTCCCATCAAGAACAACAACATTGATCGAGGCTTCCGATTGGTGCTCGATGCCGGAGGCCCGACACTCATGAACGTGGCCGTCCTAGCCAAGGGCACTATCGCTCGCAGGGTCGGCAAGATCTGGTACACCCGCGCCTTCGCAGAGCGCCTCTTCCAGGAGATCTTGCTGCAGCACGCCAAGGCTGGACCGGAGTAGCAACTAGATCGATGTTAATTTCGCACGAACTATATCCCACGCATCCCTGAGGTGAAGACAGTCTGGCCACGTCTCATGCTTGATTCAGTCAGCGCTGGTAACGTGCTGACCAACTTGCTGCCCGGCCACACTGCGACTTGGTGGCCGTTGGTGGAAGATATCCTCCGATCGCCTGCGTGTGTCGCCTTGAAGCAGAACCTTCTTAGCACTGCGAATAAGCACGGCGAGTATGAGTATTTATCTATAGATGGCACATTCCGAGCTTGCATGATGCTGATGGGCCAAGCTTCCTTCAACGCACCAGCCGCTGAACGAGCAGCGCAGCCATTCACAGACGAAGATAGCTTCCGGCGTGTCATCACTATCCGGGGCAGGAGCGGGGCAGTGCTGGGCTTGGCGCCTGCCATCGGAGAACGCGCAGAGCATATTGTTTCGTGTGTCGTGGATGCTCTTCCAGCAGAAGCCCTGCAGCGTGTCAAGTATGTGGCGTCCGACTGCCCCTCTGCGAAGCTGATGGGGCAGCTCCAAGCAGTTCTACCAAATCTTCAGGCGCTGGTGCTTGATGGAACGCACGCCGCCATGCACTACGAGCAAGCTACCAACGGCCGGAAGACAGCTGGGTCAGCACTTCTGCGGAAATTCTTGGCCAAGTTCTGCCCGAGGGACAACGCGCTGGCTGTTAACATTTGGGGGGCGCCCTACGACGGCTCGCTGCCGGCGCGGCTAAGTGCCCCGGAGAACGCCCTACGGGAGCACATCATCAAGGGCACGCTGGGGCTGCGGCGGGCTCGGCACGTCTTGGCCTCGGTGGACGGGCTGTCTGCCTGGCCTACACGGATTCAGTTCATCGAGGCCGTGGCTGCTCTGGCGCGGGAGCACTCCAAGGACCTGGAGCGCAAGATCGAAGGTACCCGGGAGACGGTGGGCAAAATTCTCTATCACCTCACGGCCGCTGATCGGCTCGAGTGGCTCTTCAACAACTTGCGGCTCCGGACGTCCATGACGTCGGCTGCGCTAGTGCTGCTTCCGTCTGGCACCACGGGGAATGAGGCCTTGCATGCGGAGCTTAACGCAGCCTTTCGCCAGGTCCAGCAGCTGCATCGTAGCACTCTGCAGCTTAAGCTCAACATCTTGCACTTGGCCAAGCTCTTGCCCCACCACGTTGCTCTACACAGCCCCACCGCCAAGCAAATGCCGGCTGGGCATGTCTTAGCGCGACGGGTGGGGACGCCCTTGTGGACAACGAGGATGTGGTCATCGTGGGTGGCTGAGCAGCACGCAAGCGGGGCGGTAGGGCGTTGTAGTTTGCCCCTGGCTGCTCAGCGGCAGATGGAACAGGAGGCCATTCAAGCTGCCCGAGGTCTAAAGCGACCTGCGGCAGGCATGCGGAAGCGCACTCCATTCACCTTGGAGCGGGCGCCAGGGGCAAGCGCAGCAGGAGTGCGCTTCCGCAGGCCCGCCTCGCACGCGCCAAGCTAAACGGGTCAAGAACTGCACCAAGCACTTGACGGCTATGTTCTTGACGCTGCCAGGACAACACTAAGAACAAGAAGAATTTCTATGCAATTGTCTCTCTTTGGGGCACATGGGAAGTCAGCCTCTGCACGCTTTGTAGGGGAATTGCCTCTTGTCTCTGGCAAATCAAAAGTCAGCTTCTGCACGCTCTGTAGGGGAATTGCCTCTTGTTAAAGCGTTTGCGTAGCTGGCGCTCTCTGGCTTCCTTGTGTGGCTCACAGCTTCACATCGCACATTTGCACGAGATGTAACAGGTCACGCTGGTAAGATATGTGGGTGGCTGGATATATTTAGCTCACACACAGTTTTGTTCTTGTGATGCCGAGAGATGTTCATGACCTAGCAATGCTGGTGTGGCAATCTTTTCGCAGCCTTCTGCAGCCGCCGATGTGGTTGGGCCATTCAGGCTGCTCAAGCAAAATGTCTGGGAGGATGTTTGTTGTTGGTTGCAGCAACCTTCCCGGCCCAACCATAAATCTTTTTCTGCAGTGTGCGCACCAAATGAGAGCGTGCGGCGGAGCATAAAAAAAGACGCATATGCCCGGGATTGCGTCTATCCTGTGTCTGTGCGCATGTGCCTACGTGCCTTTGTGCCTTTGTGCCTTTGTGTGTGTGTGTGTGTTGCACGGTTTGCGTACCGCAACCTTGGCGCAACACACTGCGCCGTATTGTACGCAATCTTCCCAAGCACCCCCCCCCCCCTGCGTCTTTTCTCCGGTTTTTCCGAGGACTCCAAGGGCTGCCGCGAGGTCCAGACGGCCCTCGAGGCGGCCTCGGAGGACGTGCGCGTGGCGCTGGTGGCGGAGATCGCGGGCCACGTCCTGGACGCCATGCGGTGCCCCCACGCCAACCACGTGCTGCAGAAGTGCATCACCTGCTCCAGGCGCCGGCGAAATCGGGAGGTTTTGGGGGGGGGGGGGGGAGAATGGGTGTTTTGTTTTGTTTTTTTTTGGGGGGGGAAGGCGGGGGGAGGGGGAGGGAAGAGAAACGAAGTCCGAAAAAAGGGCGGAAGAAAGGGAAAGGGGGGGAGAAATAGGTGGTCGGGGGGGAGAAACAGGAAGCCCCAAGAAAGGAGCGAAGAAAGGGGAAAGGGGAAAGGGAAGGGAAGGGCGAAACATGGGGCAGAAAGCCGAACAATGGGGAAGAATGGGGAAGGGGGGGACGAAAAGAGAGAACACAAGTTCCTTGGTTTCTCTTCTTTGAGAACAAAAGAGAGAAAAGAGACACTTTCAGTGAGTGCCACAAGCGAATGAACAACACCCAGCAAACAACGAACACACCAAAGGGGGGGGGGCTGCGGAAGTGAGCTACTTGAATGAAAGCCCCGGGGATGGATTTTCAGGTTAGCAGGGTGTACACCTCAAAACCCGCGAGGTGAAAGATCGGCCCAGGCGATAAATCGTGGATTTGGAGCCGCCAAAGTCGGGCGGCCTTCTTTTGGTCGCAAAACAAAAATCCGCCGCTCGCCCAAAGCCCCGGGCAAATCTTTCCAGATCCCAACTCCCAAACCATCGGGCGCCTTTTTTTCCGCCTTTTCGATTCCTGGGTCCAGGCGGAAAAAGGCGGGGGCTGCGGTTGCCAGTCTGAGAAAGCAGAACCCCAAGAAGGATTGCCCTGAGAGACATGTAAAGTTGCACAACATGAGCCCGGGTGATATCCCCAACAGCCCCGGAACCCTCCGGAACCCTCCCAGAAAGCTGCCCCAACAGCCGTTGGGCGAAAAAACATGTGGCATTTTTTTGAATACCAGCAATTGACGTGAATCTGATCTCGGGGTCTCAACATAGGTAGCCCTTCTGCCATCATATCAGGAGGTTATGGGTGGCTCGTCGCGGCTTGTTTTGAGGCCAGCTGTACCCCGCTTTTTGGCGGGTTTTAAAGGGACACCAAAAGGCAAGCAACCAACATGGGGGGTCCAATCATAAAAAAGCCACACCCACATGTGCCCTGAAAAGCGATTGGCACAAATCCCCACCTGAACAACTACTTTGTTTCCCACTCCATGAGTTCATGGACTTGACCGATTTTTTCGGGTTTGGACCTTTTTGGCTTTCAGGGCAAAGCAAAGGGAAACCCTTGCCATTTTGGGGGTCCCCTAATCTTGATGAGACTTTTTATTTTTCCCCACTTGGTTTTCCTTCTTTGTTTCTTCCCGATATTGTTGTTTGGACAGGCAAAAAAAACACATGAAGCATGACAGACTTGTGCTTTGCGTGTTTTTTTTCTGGTGTTTGTATTTCTTGATCTCCGCTACCCGGCAAACATTCCAGATGTCTATTTCTTGCTGTACTTGTTTCTTGGTTTCTCTTCTTTCCTCCGCTAGCACGGAAGTTCTCGAGGGAACATGTTTCTTGAGAAGCCTCCATCACAGCTTTTTAAGTCTGCGTACATGGCCTCCCTGCAAATGGACTAAATCCTGCCCTGGTGCGCGGTTTGTCCCAGCGGAATTTCCTGGGGGTTCATCCATCCCAACTGGAAGGATGTTGTGCAAGTCTTCTTCATGGGTTGGGCTATGCTGAGGCAGGTTCTTGCCGATTTTCGCGGCTCTTTCCGATTTTTGCGAAGATATGCAGGGGAAGAAGCGCTGGTTTGCCGCGCGCGCTTCAAATTTTGGGCAGGACATGTACTGACCTTTGGTGTCTGTTCGATATAGCGCGTGCGATTTTGGGAACTTTGGAGGAGGGTTGGGCTTTGGGTTCTGTATGTTTCGGAGTGGGATTTCCCCTTTCTTCTTGAGGGAGCCCAGTGTTTTTCTTTTTTCCAGTCTTTGTTGGGGGGCTCGGATTTCACTTTTTGCTCTTGTTGAGGGAGCCGTGTCGTCTGTTTTCTTCCGTCCTGCGGGTTCTTCGCTTTGCTCCTTGTTATTGGAGTGCCTGCTGTGGCTTGTGAAATTCTTTTCTTGCTGGTGCTCAGAAGGGAATGAGTTGGAATGACCCCAAACGGTTTCCTATAGTTTAGCAAAGGTTTCCCTATGGAATGATCCCAATGAGCATCCTATGGTTTCCTGTATAAGGGGAATCCCCAAACGGGTTCATTCCATTTCTCAATCCCTACCGAACTCGCCAGCCAAGTGCATCCCTCAGGCCGCAGCACTGCCAGTTCATCATCGAGGAGATCATGACGTGCAAGGGCTTCGTGGAGCTTGCCCGGTTGCCCCGGTTCATATATTTTTTTGTGGCATCGAAAACGATTTTTCTCGGGTGCCAGCTCTCCCCGCCGTTGCCAGGCCTTTTCTTTGCTGAAAGCCATGGGGTGAGTGGGCTGGTTTGGGGCGGCTTGGGAGGGTTTCGGAGAGTTCGCGGGGGAGAAGGCGCAAAGTGTGGGGCTGGGGATTGGAAGGTTCACCTTTGGTGGTTCTTGAGGGTAAATGAGAAGCCAGCCCTCGACACCCCCAAAGCACCGGGTGCAACAGCGCCACGAATTGGAGGGAAGTTGACAGTTGTGACATGTGTGTTTGTGTGTGTTTGAGCGCTGTGTGTGTGATGTGTTTCTGTTTGTTTGTTTTGTTTTTTGTTTGTTTGTTTGTTTGTTTGTTTGTTTGTTGTTTTGTGTTTGTGCTTGTGCTTGCGTTCATGTGTTGTGTTTGTGTTTGTACTTGTGTTTGTGTCCGTGCTTGTTTTTATGTTCGTGCTTGTGCTTGTTGTGTTCGTGTTCGGGTTTAGGTTTGTATGTGTGTTGGTTTTCGAGGGTCCTTTTTTGGCAGAACCAAAAGGAAACCACTCATTTGGTGGGTCCTATGTTGAGACAAGCCCATTTGTCTTTTTTTTGGGCGGCTTGTTTGCTGAGTTGTTTTTGTCACAATGGGACGGGAGGGCAAAAGGGTCCTTCTTAGAGGCCGATCTGGGATCCCGGACTTGGTCTGGGAAGTGTCACATCGGGCGGCAAATTGGGTGCCTGGTTTTTGCCTCCGAATGTGGGCTCGGTAGACTTAGGCCCAGGGGTTCCCGTGCCTCAGGCCTCGCGCCACAAGTACGGATGCCGAATCATCCAGAGGCGGGGTTCGGCGGCAATGTGTTGGCGGCGAAGGGATAAAAAAGCAATTTCAAACCGCCTCCCCCCAATCTGCGGAGGGTGATGAACCCATGGAACCAAAGGAAATGCACCCCATTTGTGGGGGGGCATCCGCATGAGTGCCATGCATTTTCTGGGGGGGGGGAGGGGTGGGGGGGGTTTGTGGCTCGTCGCCTGCGAGCTCAGGCTTCTCGAGCGCTGCAGCGGTGGGCAGGCGGGAGGGATCGCTTGGGGTGGGGTTTGTGTTGCCTTCTTTGTGAGGCGGAAGGTACCTTTTTTTGTCCTCTTCTTTGTTTTTTCCTTTTTTTCTCGTGGGATTTTTTGGAAAGGAGCCGTGTTTGTTTTGTGGTTTCTTTGTGGGAAGGTTGGGATGTTTCAACACTTCACTTTTTTTGGCGGGGTGGGAAGGTGGGAAGGCGGGAAGGTGGAGAGGTTCCCAGAGCCCAAAAGGGTGGGAAGGCGGTTTTTTTACTTCCATCTTCCCCGGCGCTTTTTTTTTCCTTCTCATTTTTCAGTCGGGGGAGGCCTGCCCAACAAAAAAAAACACGTTTTATGTGCTACCATTTAAAGGGGTTTGCAGTAGGGGAGGCCTGCCCAACAAGAAAAAGTCACACCCGCCGTTTTTTCTCCGCCGCACTCCCAAAAAATTGGCCGGCTCCAGCGCTTGTTGGGCCGACTCCCGAGGGCCGGCTCGACGCCTCTTTGGCGTTTTGTCGGGTTTCATCGGGTCTTCTCCAACTGATTTTTCCAAATGGTGCAAGAAAAAATACCAAAACGCGATCTACCTGAGGCTTCACAGTTCTGTAGCCAACTGGTGGCCATCTACGTTTCCAGGTGTCAAAAGATGTTGGGACGTTTGGCCACGGCCGCAGTCAAAGAGAGTCAAAGGAAGGTGCTCTGAGGAGTTTCGTCTTTCTTCCCTAAAGGCGGCGCACACTTCACCAACTAGCTTGAGGGTTTTCGTCTTAATCGCTTTTGGCGGCTGAACATCACCATAACCTGGTTTTGTAGGTAGCCAAAACCTTGCCACCCTTTGACAACCAACACGATATGGGCTGGTTACCTACAAAAAGGGCTTGCCAGGGATTGGCTGGGCAGGAAACTAGGAAACTGACAGCATCCGCGGCTAAAGTCAAACTCTTGGTGATTTAGTGGAAGCTACCACTAAACCCTCAAACGCCACACATGTAACGGGAAGGCTGAGAACCACCAACTTAAAAGATGTGATCAGAGTAAACCCTTGCGCTGACTCGAGGGCGTCCAGTCCCACAACCGCAACCAAGGGGTTCAATAGGATAGGTGGGATGCCAACCACACCCAACCAAACCAACTGCGCTAACCCTGACTCCTTCGTGCAAACAAAAAGTTTTGAGGAGGAAAAGAAGGTCAATGGACAGCGAATAATTGCAACGTTTCGGACAATTGGAATAGGGTTACGAAACCAACCTGCAGCTCTCTGGTTTGTGAGCTTGTTCCGGTTCTTTTTTTTTGAGGGGATTGGATGGGGTTCGGAATGGTGTCCATGGTGAAGCCCGCAAAACCGGAAACGACTCGAAACCCAGAAGTTCCTGAGCTCAAGCTTAGTTGGTTTTCTGTCCAAAGCTTCAATCCCCTGAAGGCACCCATGCCTATGGTGGCAGGGTTTCCGAGCCATTTCCCTTGGCAACTCAAGATCGTTTCAATGGACACCACCAGTCATTTGATCAACTTTTGATTTTGTGGGACACGAGAAGGACGGCCCAGCCGCATTTTTGGGGGGTCCCCTAACAAAAGAGACACCTACGCAGGGCTCCTTCAAAGATACATGTTGCAACCATTTAAAACATGATGCTTTTTCAACACCAAAATACAGAAATGGAAGCCACCATGTACAAGTTGCAATGTTCAGGTGCATGAGGGAGGGAGGGAGGGAGGGAGGGAGGGAGGGAGGGAGGGAGGGAGGGAGGGAGGGAGCCCTCCCTCCCCCCAGCCCCCATGAATCCGGATCCCTGCGTGGCGGCTTTGCCCGCCGCTTCGCCCCGCAGGTTGAAGGCATTGCCGCCGCCATTTTGTCCGACGTCGGCGGCATCTCGCGGCATCCCTACGGCAACTACGCCCCGCGCTCGGCGGTTTTTTGGGGCGGTGTCGGGGGCTCGGGGCGGTGGATGGCGACGTGGGGACTGGTAGACGCTTTGCTTTGGATGGCTTTAAGAGGAAACCGACGGAAAACAGTTGCCATGTAGGCCCCCCCTCCATTCTTGAGAAACACAATAACAGGATGTTTCTCAAAATAGGGATTGCGGGTTATTGCCTGATTGCTCCTTTCAAATTCGTGGTCTTCCGTCATTTCTTGTCGGTGAGCGAGGCTTGGCAATTGGTCTTTTGGCAGAAAATCCCTTTCGGGTGCTGGTCACCTTGACAGATCCCTATCAACGATTCCCTCATAGATTCAACGGTGGGGTTCCCTCACTTCCCCTGTGCTTTTCAAACCCCGCCTTTTGGTTGCCATGAACTGTAAGTTTCTTTTTCGGTGATGTTAGAAGGGGGAAGTTCTAGGACCCCTGCCATCCAACCCTGCCGGCCGTGCTTCTTTTTTTTTTTGGGAATGGGACTTTTCGAGGCATGGGACGGGTGTTTCCGAAGCTTGAGGCCCGGTCTAGGTTCGCGCACTCAAGAGGAACCAGCATGGTGGGCCATTTGCCGTTTACAGGTAGCTTTGGTGCATCTTGCCAAGGGATGTTAGTTGACTTTAACTTTTTGATCCAACTAATGGGTTTTCCGTATTAAACCGCTAAGAGTTAAGCTTTTGGCAGGGGAGCAGAAAGCAACCGAGTTAGCCCTTTTTCTTGTTTTCTTTCTTGTTTTGCCTGGGGGGGGAGGGAAGGGGGAGGGTTCCACACGCATATGTGATCGTTTCCTGGTCCCTTGCTGCCATATCCCAGACATGGGTCTGCCTTTTTTAGGGGTCCCCATGTTGGTTGGTTTTGAAAGGGAAACCACAAGGAAAAACACGGCCGGTTTGGGGGGAGCAACCGCTTTTCGGTGGAACGCGACGCCCAAAAAATAACAACCGCAGAGGGTATGTGCAACTTGGTTCGACCTTATACTCATCTTTGGGGGAAGCTCGCATGTTTTCTGACATGGGGAAGGATTTGGGGGGGGGGGGTCATGTGAGTAATTGATTTTTGGTGGATGCGCGCCTGGGTTCCCCTGGGACCCCTCATGGTTGCCTTTCTTTCTCGGTTCCCTTTTTTCAACCCATCCTCTTTCAGGGGTTCCTCATCTGAGACAAGCTCGTGGTTCTCCGGTTGAGGATCTGACCCGCCAGAAGCGGGGACGTGGGCTTTGAACTCCGGGACCGGATTTCTTCGAATCCGAACCTTGGTGGCTCCCAGCCATCCGGTTCCTTAGCCTTTTAGCTTCTTAGTGCTTAGTGGTAGTTTCAACACTGAAAGCGAGTCGCTTTTGGCGGATCGGACAACGGGCCCAGAAACCAATGGCTAGAGAAGTTCCTTATCTGAGACAAGCTCGGGATATGATCCCCTGCTTCTTGAGGGTCCCCTTCATGGGTTTAATCCGCCGGATTTCCAAGCCATTCCAAACCAATTGCTGAGGTGCTGCAGAATCTGCTGGAGCATGGTACACCAGCTCACCGCCGCAAGCTGGCTCAGGATCGCTCGAGTGGTTTGCCCTGCGAGCGGTTTTCGCCGCTCGATTCGCTGCGTTGATCCAGTGGATCGCGCGGGTGTTCGGTTGTAAGGTTTCTGAAGATGGGCTGGCGGATGGGTCCGTTTTCTTTCTTTGGCACCCTGCTTGGCTGTTTTGGGGTTAGCTCTTTCTTGATGGGACCCCTTTTTGATTCGTTTCAGAGGGCAACCACCAGGAACGCCGCCTTTTTTTGGTGGGTCCCGACGCGCCCTTTCAAGCGATCGCCAAAATGGACACCTTTCCGGAGGGCTCGTAACCCAAATGGAGGGCTCGGTGTGCCTGGCAGTTGGTGTCAACTTCCTGGGCTAAAGAAGGAGAAGCCCCCGGAAGACGGATCGTTTTTTTGGAGGCGAGGATCGTGTCTTGGGCCTGGAGAACAGCAAGATGTACAAAAGCGGTCCAATCCACCAAATGTTTGGTTTCCCCCAGGTTCCGAAAGCCACAAACATCTGGATGAAGACCAGTGGGGAGGCAGTCTCAACCAGAAGTAGGAGCGGCAAAAAACCGTCCGAGAGGCTTCACGGGTTTTGGGTCTACCCTTGAATACCGAATACCAACTGCGAAGACCCCCCACCATGGGGCTCGGAATCGCCCCCACGTGACAGAGCCCTCGAAATTGTTTGGCAGCATGGCATTCTCTTGCTTAAACGACCTGGGTTTCATCTCAAGATGTCGGCTTTATCCAAAGACCAACCAAGTGAACTGATCCATCCCAAACCATCCCGAAAAAAAACCCGCGCGCGAAACCGCGCGCGCGCGCGTGTTTTCTTCCATCGGCGGCAGGAACTCGTCCGGGAGATTGTGCCCATTTGCCAGGACTCCTTCGGTAGCGCAGTCGTGGCTGCTGCCTTGCCCGAGCCTCAAGCCGCTGGAAAGCGGCAGGGCGGCGGTAGGTCTCCTGGCCCGTTAAAAACAGCGGTCCTGCCTCTCCCCCACCCCCAAGAAAAACAAGCGGCAAAGCAAGAACAAAGGCAAACACCACAAGCTCTTAGGGCGAAGCGAGCAAGCCCCTAGTGCTTGCCACACCTCGTGGACGAAGTTGTTTTTCTTCGGATTTCGAGGCAATTTGTGAAGTTGGGCGCCGGGGATCGATCCGTGGGTTTTGGGGGCTCCAACGAAGTTCAAACGAGGAACCCCGCCCTCCCAAGTGGTTGGTGGACGTGGACGTGGACGTGAATTTGGGCTGAATTCTGATTTCCACAGGGTGCCCTATGAAGATTTTCACCCAGAGAATCAGCAAGAAGGTCAACTGCTAGTTTCAAAGCTTCGAAAGATGAAAGGTGAATAGCGAGCCATGCGGACTTCCATTGATGGTTGGCCACATATCTTGGCCCGAAAGTGGCATTTGGAAAGCATCAGTTTCCCAACCCCCTATCAAACAAGGGTACACTTGAGGGTGATGGGCCCGAAAACATGTTGCCGCCGTGTTTCGTCAAGCCCTGATGCTCCCACCGTTCTGTGCAAGTTCTGTGCGGTTGCTCTGCGCAAGTTCGCTATGCAGGTAGCTCTGTTTGAGTGGCTCTTTCGAGGAACTGTCTGTGTACTTGTGCTCTGCTCAAGTTGTCCTGTACAAGTCTGCTTGTCGATCTCCGCGAGTGCTCCCCTATGAGGATTTGCGGTAGTGTGCATCGCGTGCTACTTTCGTACTTAATAGTTGCGATTTTCCCGCCGGACCCAGGGCCCGCGACCGCTCGATTGCCAGAGCAGTCGCGCAAACCACAAGACAACTTTCAAGCACCAGCTCGCAAGCAGCAAAAGTAGCAAACTTCGCACAACAGACACGCTCAGCAAAAAATCCCAAACCGCCCCGTCCCGGCAAGGGACCTTTTCGAAGTACCAGAAGCCATCAATTGGGGATCTCTGTAGGAATCGGCGCGCTCGATGTGCCAAAACTGTGCACTTGTAGCGAATTATGTGTCGCGCGCGGTATCGTGCCTGTCGAATCGCTCGTGCCTGTCGAATCGCTCGTGCCTGTTGAATCGCTCCACTGTGGCCGCTTTGTGCCCCTTGTTGGTTGGTTTTAAGGCAGCCGCCTCTCAACAGGAAGCCTACCGGGCCAACGATTTGTGGGCTACTTCAGGCTCAGCCGAATTTTGGCTAAGAGCAATCAGGACGCGGAGAAAATGGGTTGTCCACCATTGTCTTGCTCGAAAAATGAGTTTCATTCACACCCCTGGCCGGTTATTTAACCGACGTCAACTGAGACCCTCAAAACGGTTTCTCTTCTAAACCACAGAAATGGGCACCCGAAAAAGAAAAAAAAGGCCGTACCACAGCTATGTGGGTGTTCGGTTCAAAACCGTTTTGGGATCCCATTTTGGGATAGGTGAATTCACCACCCATTTTAGAACCTATTTTAGTGGGGATTGGGATGTTCACCGGGGGTACGGGGTTTTGACCCATGGCCATGTGGGTGTTTCTTCATATTTTTGAATGGTACCTTTTTAAGGGACACCTTGTTGTTTGGGGTGGGTGGGTGGGTTCCCGAAAACAAGCGTCACGGCCATGTGGCAGTGCGAGCGGTTGCTTCCATTTGCTCAAGAATGGTGTTTATTTTCTTCCGTTGGTTTGAACCGAAACCTATCACTACTGGAGAGGTTTCTGGTCTTTCCAGGGCACGAAAAAGGCAAATGGAGGGTTTCGCGACTGCGCCAAGGTCACAGCTTTGTAAAGAGGATGCGATTACCGTGGCGCGAGCTGTAGTCCAGGACCGGGACACCGGGCGGAAGGCTCAAGGCGATTGTTGCAAGGATCCATGGTGGGATTCCTATCCTTACTTGACTTTGTCATTGAATTGGAGTCCCGCAAACAGATTTCGTGGCCCTACCCCAAAAAGGTTTCCGCGGATTCGGTAGGGGATCAACAGGGGGAACGGGAATCGAAAGATCCCAGTTGGACGCCAGGGATAGTTCAACAGAAAAAAGGAAACCACCCCAAAACCACCCCTTCGCCCTACGATCTCTCCAAAAAAACCCATCCAAAAGCTGGAAGGGACAAAATGGGCATGGGTTCCGGGAAACAAAGAAGCAATCGGGGGGTTACTGATATGTGTCCCACCTAAAAACATCACTTGCAAACGGAAGCTCTTCCCCAAATCAGCTTCCGTCGAATTGGTGGTTTGGTGGTTTTCCGGAGGGGTGTCCCATATACCCTCTACAAGAACCAAGGGGTGCAAATCCAAATCCAAACCACAATCCAAACCGCCAACTAAGGGCTACCTCACGTGAGTCATAATCAAAACCCGGTATGAACATAGTCTACCCAGATCGCAGCACCAAGTTTCAAGAATTAGAAAGGCGGACCAGAGCCTCATACGCCTTACTCACCTTCACTTGCCCGGGTTTTGAGGGCGTGGCTCACGGGATGTTGAAAGCACCAACCAAGCCACAGAAAGGGTTTAACACCATGAGTTTTTCCCACTAGGCCTGAAAAAAACACCCGAGGAGCGCTATCTGGTTGGAACGTTCCATAAATCGTGCGCCCTATACGTTGGTTATGCTATGAGGGTTCAACAATTCAGTCTATGGTCTATGAGGGATGGGCTTCGGGAACGAGCCCTATGTTTCCGGGCTCGCAACATGGTCCAACGCAAACGACAAAACCGTACACCCGGAAAGGAGCCCTGAACTTTCAGCATTGCCAGCAGGGAAGCCATTTTGGACCGATCTACCCTTGAAAAGGTAACCAACCTAATGTTGACCCCGGATTACTAAACCTCTCCTGTTACTACGGGGGGGTGCTCCTTCCAAAAATGATTACCAACACACCCAGCCCCCCCCCGCAAGAATAAATTGGGGTTATGGAGGGCTGTCGGCTTTTGAGCATTTGGCGAAACTTTTTTCTGCGACGGTGCACTTTGTTGTTGGACAAGGGTAAATGACTCCTGGACAGAAAACAAACCCGGGGTTGAGAGCCTAAAATCAGATGGAACTGGAGGGGGTTTATCTCACAACCAGGTTTTAGACATCAGAAGAGATCCATGGAAGCTGCTTGAAGAGGTCCAAAGACCTGAGTCTGTGTCTGTGTCTGTGTCTGTGTAGGTTTGGGTCTCAGCATCCATGACTTTCGTGGGACTGCCAAGAAGCAGGGAAGAGAGGCAAGGCCGGGAATAGGCCGCGGCCCGTTCTGGTGGCCAGAGAACAACATGTGGCCATGGGTCCAAATCCGAATCGTACCCCCCAGTGAACATCCCAATCCAACCACTAAAAGAGAGAGCAAACTCGGCTAAATTGGGTGGTGCACATACCGCAAAATGGTGCCATTGGTTTTGAACCACAGCCCTTTAGTCTCCGAGTCATGATTTAGTCCCTCATATTGCCCGGTAGATCTGGCCCCGGAAGCGGCAAGTTCGGGAGGCACTCGGTGTCACCAGTTCCGGACCCCGTGGACCTTTTTTTTCTGTTATTTTTTTCTTTTTATTTTGTTTTCTTCGATTCCATGTAGCTAAAGTGGAGGCTTGGCCTTTTCAGGATTTGAGCGGCAATGGAGTCTGTTTCTGACCTCGTCTCAAAATCAGCAGCCCTTCCCAAGGGTTGGGTTCCCAATGAAGCCAACGGAGAGTTCCAAATAGGGAAAAGCTCCTCCCCCCTCTTTGGGTGGAAAACCAAGTTGGAAGCCACATGTTGAGAGCACCCGCCTTTTCCGAGCACATCATTTGAGCGCAAGGCGCAAGTCTGAAGAAAAACGATCCCCGAATCCAACCAGCCCGTTTGTGGAGTTCTTGTTCCCGTTCCCATGTCACATTCAGGGTCCGTTCTCAGTACCAGCCTAAGGTCCAAATCCTAAGGAGCAAACTGGAGTTCCTTTAGTTTTCCTGTAAATCCGCAAAAGTTCGGGGTCTTTTTGAATCACTCGTTGAGGTGCAGCCGCAAAATTCTCCCCCCCCCCCTTCAAAATAAGCTCAGGTGATATCCCCAACAGCATGCGGTGCTTTTTTCACCCCGCAGCCCCAGTAGAACCTCGTGGTACCCTGGCGGAACCCTGGTGAAACCCTGGTGGAACCCTGCTGGAACCCTGGTGGAACCCTGGTCAAACCCTGGTGGAAGCCTTTCCTCAGGGCCGCCCCGGACCACCCCGGAGCCTATCTGGGCTGAGACCCCAAAGCTTTCAGCTGTTGGGGGGAGCAAAAACAGAAAAAGACAAAGGCCGAGACGGTTCCAACAGGCACTTGGATTTGTGCAGGAGCCGGGGCTGCTGACATTCATGGCACGGGCCTTGGGGACGGTTGGACCTGGTTTGGAGCTGAAGCGGTGGTTAGGTAAAGCCCGGGGGTGCCTTTTCCAGATTTACCCTCCCAAAGAAGGCCAGGGGGTCAAGTGTTAGGGGTTACCTGAAATGGAGGGGTCATCTAGGCAGAAATGCGTGTACCGGTGGAAATTACAAGAAAGGACATCATTTTATTAGGGGATTTATTAGTCCAATGTTTGAGGTGATACCAATAATGGAGAGCATCTTTTTTTTTTGTGAACCAACCACTTTTGATTCCAAACATGGTGGACGTGTCAAAACTCGATTGGGATTTTTGGGAATCAACCACTTGTGGTGCGAAATGGAATTCGTCCAGCCACAGTATGTACCCCACAACCCCGTGGTCCTCGTTCTGGTGCTCGGCTAGATTTCGGGTTGTGCACTGGAAGACCCCCAGGACACGTCCTGGATGGTTCCGTTCCCGAAACTCGAAACTTTGGGTCTCAGCGCGTGTCTTATATGTTGAGCGTCACTATGAGCGGATTCTTTTCGTCTGCCATTTGCAGTCAAAGCAAAAGAGTTCGCTACATTGCAGGCTGGAATCCGATGCTTTTGGTGCAAAAGCTGAGATAAGGTCGCTTTGGGTTGCATTCCAGAGCATACGTTGCGTGGATCCTTTGTAGTCCACTTCCGCAACTTCGGGTCATAAATGGATCCATTCAGTTCCAAGGGGTGTCAAATTTGATGCCTGGTCGCCATGTCTTTCTCGGCAGTTCTGAAGGGTTCAAACACAGATTGGCTCTCATTTGATAAGGATCCGGAGTTTGAACTCGACATACTTGCACGAAAAATCGGACCGTCGGTGTCCTTCTCACTAGGGGATGGCCTGGGCTACTCTCAGGGCTTTGCTGGGATCTACGGAAAGTCTGTGTTCCTTTGCTTCATAGGAAAGTTGGGCGATTCAACCCGCTGAAGTAAGCGTGTTCTCACGCTTCCCCCT